TTTTTTTTTTTTTTTTTTTTTTTTTTTTTTTTTTTTTTTTTTTTTGGACAAATCAGACTAATTGTGACAAAACGCTGGTTATCTCTGGAAAAACAATTAAATCCCTTCGATTACAGTTAAAGGGAAATGTGCTTAGCGGCGGAAAGCGGCCGGTAATGGGGCGGCCCGCGCCCCCTCTGCGGTCGATATCCCATTACGGCGCATGCATATCTCTTTCAAGCACCTTGCAAACTCCCCCCGAACATCTAAATTATAGGGTCAAAATTCGGATAATTACTCGATTAAAACCTATTACACTTATTAGGGGCCGCTATTGATCGCGAATTGCATTCGACCAGCTCCTGATTGCTTTTTGTACCCCTCCCCCCATTTCCTCCTCCTAACTTCCCGGCCCCTGCGCCTCTCACGGACCCTGCGCTCCGGGCCGACTGGACTGGGGCCGCCGGCGTTGCCAGCGCTTTTGCCGCGGGCGTCTGTTCTTAGATGGAGGAAGAGGAAGTCCCACTGCGCGGTAGACCGACCCCCGCCGCCGAGCGGCTATTCTGCGGGGAACCTGCGGTTGGCTGCCGGGCTGTGCAGGGAGGGAGCAGGCACTGCACGACCGTAGAGGGCAGCTGGGCAGGCCTGGGGCTTGGATGGCTAAGGGTAGCCTAAAGGGAACGGTTGCCCTGCTAGACCTTAAAGCTGAGAACCAGAACACCTTCAGCCTTCCTGGGACCTGAGCCATTTTCCCTGGAGGAATTTGCAGGGAACGAATTTATCGGTTAAGCCCCAGGATCTTGGTGCTAACCTGGCTAGAGAGCAGAGCTTAGGCACTGGGTTGCAAAGCACCACGGAGGGCTCCTCTGGAGTTTAAAGACCACCTGTGGTGTGAAAGGCATCTATGGTCCTCACGGCCCTGCGCAGGAGAGAGGCTTCCGTCCAAATTTCAGAGACAGAATACAGCTACAGCGTAGCTTCTCCCTAGATGATGTGGGATTGGTGTCAAATTCCCTTTCCAGGCTTCAGCGCAGAGGCCCTCAATATCCACTCTCAGCCTCCAAGCCTGAGCGCCTGCTCCAGGGCAAGTAGGGACCAGATCAAGACAGCGAAGCTGGGGGGGGGGGGGCGGAGGCAGGCTGGGAGCACTGCTAGCCCGACACTTAGCTTCTTAGCTTTCAGGGCCTGAAGCCTGAGGTTGGGACAGCTCCAGGGCAACTCATTTTGGCCCCCAGAAGCTGCCTCCCCATAGCCAGCGAACCCCACCCCAGGCCTCTGGCCCCTCCCGCTATTAAGTGCGCAGTAATTGGCTGGCCCCGCGCTTGCTGTAATTGGAGGGTAATATGCGCCGAAATAAATTAAATGGCCTTTAACTAGTATGTACATTACACAAAATGAGTTTAATTAAGTTTGTATCTGCCCCGTGAATCAATCCGAGCTCTTTCTCTCCGCTGTACACTCCGCAGCCCCGGGCCTGGCCCAAGCACGCGCGCCGTGCGGGCCGAGGCGCAGACCGTTCGTGGTGCATCGAGAGCACCGGGAGAGGGCCCTTCCGATGGAAGGCAGAGAGGAAGTGAGAGCAGCCTGGGAGGAACGTGGGAAAGAGGGAGGAAAGGAAAACCTTTGAGAAGTGGGTAGGCAAACGAGGAAAAGGAGAAACCCAAGGAGAAAGGGGAAGTCTGGGCAGGGAGGGAGCGGGCAGGGCGGCAGGTGTGGGCCTGACCCTCGGTGCTCTGCCATTCCTCCGCTGCAGGTACTGGGGACCCTTACAGGACGGACGAGGCTGATGCCAATGGCTACAGTAGCGGAGGCGGCCGTAGCCCGAATGCGGACAGTGAGGATGAAGCGCCGGAAGACGAAGAGGAGAATGAAACGCCACAGGCACCGGAGGAGCGCGTGGCGGAGGAGGCGCGGGGAGGCGTCAGCGGCCTCGGGGCCCGCGGGTCGGGCTGCCCCGGAGCGGCCGAGGTGGAGGTGCCCCCGGTAGACGAAGTCGCAGCCCCTGGAGCCGGTGGGAACTCGCCCGGAGCTCCGGGCCCCCCTGGAGCTACCGCCGGAGCCGGGGGCGCGGGGACCACTCCGCAGGGCGCGGCGGCCGTGGCCACCAAGCCCAAGCGGAAGCGCACAGGCTCCGACTCCAAGTCGGGGAAGCCTCGGCGCGCACGCACCGCCTTCACTTACGAGCAGCTCGTGGCGCTGGAGAACAAGTTTAAGGCGACTCGCTACCTGTCGGTGTGCGAGCGCCTCAACCTGGCGCTGTCCTTGAGCCTAACCGAGACGCAGGTGAAGATCTGGTTCCAGAACCGCCGAACCAAGTGGAAGAAGCAAAACCCAGGCGCCGACACCAGCGCGCCGACCGGCGGCGGCGGGGGCCCGGGGCCCGGTGCGGGGCCTGGAGCGGGGCTGCCGGGCGGCCTCAGCCCACTCAGCCCCTCGCCGCCCATGGGCGCGCCCCTCGCCATGCACGGCCCCGCGGGGTACCCGGCGCACGGCCCCGGAGGGCTGGTGTGTGCGGCGCAGCTGCCCTTCCTGTCTAGCCCAGCGGTGCTCTCGCCCTTCGTGCTGGGCTCGCAGACCTACGGCGCGCCCGCTTTCTACGCGCCCCACCTCTGAGCCGCGGATGAGGACCCGGGTGGGAACCGCAGCACCCGGCCCTGCGGCCGGAGGACCTACGGGAGCGCCGCAGCCTCTTTTCTAAGGTTTCAGTCGTTGGCCTTGTACATAGCCGGTTCCTACAGAAGTTTTAAATTTATAAACGAGTGTGCGCTGGGGCCAGACGGGAGGCTCCCGTGGCCCTCTCCAGGCACTTTGCAGAACTCTTAATAAACCGCTGGAAGCCGCGCCACCGGGGTTTTGCGGGCTTTCGGCGCCCCTGGACACCGGCCTGGCCTTCCTGCCCGCTCAGGTTTCCGCCCGCCTGTGTGTCTCCTTACCTGGAGACTTCAGAGCTCTTACATCCGATTTCCCAGTCAGCTAGTGTCCTCGGGCCAGCCCTAACCCCAGCAGCTTGAGCCCAGCACCCTCTCACTTGCGGCTCGCCCTGGGAGTTGGTCAAGCCTTCAGGCCGAGTCCCTTTCCCGCCCTCCCTGGCGATGATGAGAGTCGGCCCTTTCCCATCTCCTTGAAACCTCTTGACGCCGTGAGGTGGACAGTTCCGACTGCTGCACACTGTCTCCCACATTCTGGTCCCACCCACTTCCCCCTGACAGCCTCACAACCTTTACCCCACCACCATATCTACGTGGTGTCTTCTTGTGGCCAGCAAGGAGATCGGCCTCTTCCCAGAAGAGGAAGTGGGGCTCTCTGGGTTGGGGTTGAGCTAGGAGGCCAGCGACTCCCTTCCTACACATCGTTCTGGAACAACTGTGGACCAAGTTCCCTTCCCCATGGCATTTGGCACAGTGCAAGGAGTTCTAGGGGGCGCCGGTGTGCCTTGAGCCCAGCTCTGTGGCTGCGCCCTTGTGAACTTGGAACCACTTGCTATGGGAACTAGGGTACTCACCTGCGGCCACAGGGATATAGAGCGCCTGCTGAGCTGGGATACCTGGAAGGTCTGTGAGTCCCGGCGGAGCGGTAAGGGGTTGTTGGAGCTGGGCAACTCTCCACCAGTCCCTGCTCCCCGGCCTGTAAGGCTTTGGGTCTTGGAAGGAACTAACTGTGCATCCACTTTGGCTGGTTCTTGGTGGGTCTTCTCCAGGCATTCTCTGCTTTTGTGAGCACAGTAAACTCTCAGAGGAGTCTTGTCTCTAGATCAGTCAGCCAGTCACCACCATTGAAAGTCAGCTTGGGAATGGGCTCAGCCACTGGCTTGAGTGGAAAGTGCTCGGGTGGGTTTCACCATCAATACAGGGTGAAAAGCAGACAAGGGGGAGCAGGAACTATGACTCCGATGACAGGGTAGAGGGAGTCAGCCTGCCCATTGCAGAATCCCCAAGCCTGGTGTATCTAGCTTCCCCCACCCACAGGCAGAGACCTGGTACCCCATTCCAGCTTCCCATTTTCCACTTCCGGGTCTGCAGGCTCTGGAATTTTCTGTCCTCATCTGATATTTCCCAGCCCACGGGTGGGCAACAGAGTCAGCCTTCCAGCTCAGCTGGGCCACGGCACCCCTGTTCCTGATGGTCAGGCGTGAGAGACCTGTCTGCGGCGACAGTGAGATGAATGTAACTCAGGGGTAGTGGGTTGGGGGCATTCCTGGCCTTGCTACTGAGACCTGGGCCTCCAAGGCATCAGCAGCTGACAGGGAAGCCCTACAGGGCTCCAGAAGATTCCAAATGCTCAAGCTGCCCAGCTGAAAGTCACAACCTCCCTGGATAGGAGAGGCCACACCAGGACCTGCCAACCCAGACTACTGAGGATGGAGGACTGCCACAGCTCAGGGAATCTTTCTCTTACAAGCCAACATACCCAATTTAGTTCACACAGCAAGGAGCCACAGAGCCCAAAGTTGTGGGCTGGGCAGGAGGGTTGGTGGGTGGCAGGGAGCCTCCCTTGCTGGGAGTGTCCTCAGTATCTGGTCTCAAGTATCCCTATATAGGAGGTTGGGGGCTAGCACCTGATCCTGAAAAAAGGCCAAAGGTCCCCTTCCAGTCCTGTTTCCCTATGCCAGCCTTGCCGAGCTCAGCTGGGACCTGCTGAGACAACCCAGGATGCTAGAGCACACACATGGAGATAACAAGACAGTACAGGTAGCTGCCTGGAGCCTGGCTACTTAGACATGTAATGCTGGATTTTAGCCTGACTAGAACTTTCAACATCCATGTGGGGGTGATGGGGGTCAGCTCATCTTCTAAGGCTCAGCCCCAATCATGGCTACTTATTCTCATGGACCCCGCCCCACCATATGCCCCAGGCTGTGGGATGGGGTGGAGAGTGAGGCTGGGAAGCAGTGACCCTACCACACACAGCACCTCCCCTCACCTCCAGTTCCCTGCCAGCCCTGCACTGGTGTCGTGGCTACATGCCATAGTATGGCTTTAAGGGCTGCTTCCTGACATTCCTTGTGCCCCGTGGTCTTTCTGGCTAGATTCCTGTTGTGTATCAAGCCCTTTACCTGGGACAGAGCTGTGGTCATCTACCTGTAACAGTAGGAGCAGGTCCAGAAGGGTAGTGGGCTTCTGGGTGCAGGGCTCCCTCTGGGAGGAGTGGGCTAAGCTTGTCCAGTTCTGGCCTAGACTTCTCAACTGGCTTTCTGAGCACTCTACATCTGGGGAGTTTGGGGGTACAGGTTCATCTAGCTGCTTCTGGGGAGGCTTCCAGTTGGCCTTACCAACCTGCTTTGGACAGGTTTAAGGGGTCCGCCTCAGCTTATCCAGCTCTCAGCTTGAGGCTCAGGTACCTGATTAGGCTGGAGGCCAGCTCCTCTGTTGCCTCTAACCTACCCTTTTGGTGTTGATGTCTGAGAAGCTTCCCAGACTCCAGGATGGTGAGTATTCCTCCTCCTAGGACTTAGGACCAGCCCTGCCCTGGATGGTTCCTACCACCCAGAACATGTCTATAGTTATTCATTTCATTCTCCCTACCCCCACCTTTGAGACAAGGTCTCATTACATAGCCCAGGGTGACCTCAAACTTGAAGTGATATTTCTGCGTCAGCCACAAAAGTGCAGGGAATACAGGTGTGCACCACAATGTCCGGTACCTGGTTTCCACACATCATAGTTTCCACTGGCAAAGGCGTTTCAATAAGGCAGGCCCTGCAGGCAGAGCCAGATGGTGGGTGCACTAGAACAGGGAGAGGCTTCCACCCAGCCTCCTGTACCGGGACCCCTCAGCCCAGACACTGAGCAAGTTCCCAGTGAGATCACCATCACCCCTGCCTGGCCCCCAGCCCTCAGCCCTGCTGCCCCTTGCTGTGTGGGTTGAGATTAATTGTTGGCATGTGAGAGAAAACTCAGATGAAGAGAAGTTGAGAAAAGGCTTTATTTTCTCATAAGAGAATTCTGGCTAGTGGCAGCACTAGATACAACTTTACATGGGCTCTGAGGCCCAGCTCCACCCAGCTCTCTGCTGCACCATTCTTGGGCTGGGTCTTCATCCTCATAAGCAACAGGTGAGAAGCACAGGCCCCAGCCACCACATCCTCATCCTAGAGAGTGAACAGCAAGCAAGGAAGGAAGGATACCGCTTCCTTTACAAAATGCTCTCCCAGGAACCCGGGCAACACAGCTTCTTGTACTTCATTGGCCAGGGCTTAGCCCTCTGGCCAGTCGGGGAGGCTGGGAAATGGGGTCTTTTCCCAGGGTCAGGCCTAATGAGACAGGTGAGGTTTCCTGTTGCCCACTCTGGCCTCAGGTCAAAGACTAGCACCTCAAGACCATAGATGCAGCCAAGCTGCCTGCCTTGGCCTCCCTTTCCTGTGTCCTCCTCCAGTGTCCTAAAAATACCCCTCACCCCATCTGCATCTAATTCACTGTCTACACTCTTCTCTGGTGACACTAGTTATTTGAATTTCTTCTCCTCTTCCTTCCCTGCGTGGTGCCCCATAGTAGTTCTTCCTCAAAGTCTCAGAGATCGCTACCTTACCTCCCTTCTTGGTAAGGGGGGCCATGGAATTCAGCCCCTACTCAAGGTGTCCCCAAGGGCCAGCAGCCTTCACTACCCTCATTAGCCACCTCAGATGTCCATTTTGTGCCACAACCCTTAGCCCCAGAAACGTCCAAGTTCCAGCAGCTATTCCAACTATGCCACCTGGAGCCCAACCCTGCCAACACCTGACATCTGCTGCCCTCATCCCCAGTGGCTTGACAGCTTGATGGTACCCTCCATGTCTTCCCCGTTCTCCCCTATTCCTTATTTCTAGCTGGCTGTGCCCAGGGCCCATGACAAGTTCCACAGTTTCCATCCTGGGTCACCTTAGGGTTAGGTAGGACAGAGGACCCCTCCCCATCCCCAGGGGCAGGGATAACATTTGGAGGCGGTGAAACTGGACACACACACACACTGCCTGGGCAGAGGGGTGTACAGCATGAAAGGCTGGCTCAAGGACAGCAGCCAGGTAGTCCCTCCCCATGAGGAAGAAGGCAGAGCTGAGACCTGTCTGCTGCCTCTAAGTGTGTCCTTTGCACTGAGTCCTTAACATACCCTTCCCTGCTAAACCTCCAGGAACAAGCCCTTACATAGACTCATGGAGTCCCTTCCCCTGCAGGTTCCTATCTCCTGCCCACAAGTACAAGTCTGGGATATTTACCCTCCACCTCCACCTGGTCACCCTCTCCCAGGAAACTGGGGACGACCATATCCTGGGATAAAGGCTAATTTCTGGGGGCTGGAGAGATAGCAGTTAAGAGCACAGGCTGCTCTTGCAGAGGACTTGGGTTCGATTCCCAGCACCCACATGGTGGCTAACAACCATCTGTAACTCCAGTTCCAGGGGACCTCCAAAGGCATTGCACAACACAGCTGCATTTACACACATACACATAAAATAAAAAATAATCTCTGGTGCTGGGGATCAAGCACCATGCCTAGTATGTGTGAGGCCCTGGGTTCAATTTCCAGCATCACATAAACTTGATGTGATAGTGCAAGCCTGTATTCCCAGCACTAAGGGGGAGGACGCGGGCAGATTAAAGTTCAGGGTTATCCTGGGTTACATGGTGATCCTGTCAAAAAGGCCCAACTAATTTTTGCTTCTTAGGCAAGGGGTAGCTGGGAGCCATGACCAAGCTCTACCTACCTCAAGTAATGCATACACTGTGTACGTGTGTGTGTGTGTGTGTGTGTGTGTGTGTGTGTGTGTGTGCAGGTGGACCCCTCCTTCCTTTTGTAGACCATGTGATAGCTGCGAGAGCCTAGCAGCTCCCTCAGGCTGTGAAGTAGCCCCTGAAGATAAAGCCTTCATGCTTGCCTGCTGTTCCACAAACTGGAATGAGAGGAGATCCCAATAGCGCTATGTAGTCTCCTCTTCAGGGCCCAGCACTGACCTGACAGAAACACATCCATCCATTTACAACCTGCTGCTATTTAGTTTTCAGATTCATTCTGACAT